AAAACATTCTGAATATTGTAAGAAATAAAAGTGTGCTTTTTACGTGAACGCCTACATGTTGCAAAACCTCCCAGCGAAAATTCAAAACCATTTCTAGTGGTAACTCATTATTGAAGGAATTACGATTACTTTTAACTATGCATTTCTGATAATGCAAAATGTTATGCAAGTTATTAACACCTATGATAAGCTCATCAGCGATATTCGGCAATAGCTTTAGTTTCAGAAATATATATCACTTCAATTTTATCTTATTATAGGTGGTAATGCCTTGTATACCATTTTGCGTTACCAGTAATGCATAGTCAAAAGTGATCGTAATTTCTTTAATAATGAGCTTCCACTAGGAATTGTTTTGAATTTTCGCTGGGAAGGTTTGCTACATCTACACACGTTTAGACACATCACTTATATTTAATGAACACAGATTCACAGGAACATATGACATTTTTCACCACTTTAACTTTTCATTATAGAAACTTCTTTAGCGTTTCCACATTCTCCTGCTCTATTTCTTCCATTCTGAGGTTGTGTCTTTTTCTCTCTCGTTCTTTTTCCTCCATCGTTTTCAACTGGCTTTTCTTCTGAACCAGCAGGCTGTCCAATACATCGGCAATCCGTTGAAATAAATTGTTTTGTTCACTGCAAACCAGTTCGAATGCGTCAGTGGATCCCCGACGCTGTCTTGATGTGCTTTGCGACTCAACAGCATTAATTGAATCGTCATTCGCTTCGACAAAGGTTGCATTGCTTTCATCGGCAACATTTTCCGAAGCATGGTCGGCCGCCACCTCGCCACTACGTTTTGAGCTGAAGCGTGGCCAAAAGTGTTTGCGCCGCTGATGCCTTCTACACCTCTGTAGAGGTTACATAGCACGGCGACTGCTTCTTCAGTGGGGGAAACAAATTGCTGCGAATACGGGCCGCCACCAGTGGCCATGCTTTCTCGGCGGTTACTTGCCAGCTTTTTTTTTAATACTGGCCTTCCAATCCACCCAAGACTGCAGTGACATACACGATAAAACAAAAAATGTGTTTAAATAACGCATACTACCTTCTTCCACCCAGCCAAATCCTTGCAGGGCGGACCGACAGCATTGAGGGAGTACGTGAGTACCTGCACCCTGTAAACCCTTTAGCAATTGCTTCGTTTAGTTGCATAAACGATAGCATAATTTCCTCTTGTTTCGCGTTCCGTTTCTTTCCCCTAATATATAAATCAATGATTAACAATAATAAAATGAATAAATTGATTACTTACATTTCTCTCCTTCCTTCTTTTAGCTACGAAACAATTGTGAAGTTTGTTTACAATTAGAAACAGATGATCGCAGTAATACTATCGTTGGGGGGTTGCCGCTAGTCGCAGATTCTGTTTAAAAACTCTGATCAAACGGAATATTTCTACAAAGTGTGTTAATTTAACAGCACCAATGTATTTTTGTAATGTTTTTTCAAATATTCACTAAGTTTTGAACGAGTACAAAACTATGAATAACAGCCAAGAACATAACAATATATGTTCGAATATTATTTATGAAGCATGGCAATGTGGAGCTTTTCGAAGAATACTGCGCATGCGCTGAAGCGGAATCAAGAACAAGTCCGTTTCATTACGATCCTTTTCGCTTTATCTGGCTAAGTAGTTTTTAAAGAGGAATTTTAAGATACAGATTTATCAAAGTATTTGAATACAGATTAAAGCAATAATGACTACTCAATTCTCTCAATATTATGAAAATTGAAAAGAAGATATTTGGCTGACCAATAGCATATATATTTGGGTTTAAAAAGCCAATTACTTTTCATTCCGACTAGGCAAAGTGAAAACTTTTCAAATCGATAAAATTTTGTCGGAATCGAAATCAAGAACACCAATCCATTTCGATTCCGAAAAATTTGATCGGAATCGAAATGCAGAACATTGCTGATACAGCCCTGTTCTGCATTTCGACTCATTTTGAAAAGTAAAACGAC